TAGCCTGCCTAGCCCAGAGTTCACCACAGGTCAAACAGGTGAAACAAAGGAATCTAACTATGTAATCAATAACCAATCAGAGGGGAGGTTTACAGTGTGCAGTCGCCAAGTTTTAAATGAAGTTACGCGTAATGAATGTCTATAAACAAATTGCATTTATTACATTAGTTTATCATTCACTATTTTTATTAAAGCCACCATAAAGGACTAACTGTATCTCCTATGTCCAACTCTCAGTCAATCACAGATGGTTATTCAATTCAAGCATATTTTAATACATTTATTTAGAATAATCCACAAATTGAATTAGTTTTGTTGAAAAATTGTTATGCAATTAGTTACGTTATTCCCATGGCGATCACTGATATATTACATCGTGGTTACGAGTTTAATCATGTCTTTGCGATTTCGTGAATTGGTGCTATATTAGTTTTCTTTTGAAATAGACTATATAATAATATAAATTGCAGGAAATATATTTTAAACAATGAACATTTTTGTCAAACATCGTTATTACTAGCATAATTTTTCATATATTGTTGTAAGGTATATACAAAATATCACTAAAAACATGACTATAACAGTTTGTGATAGCAATACGTGATTTGTATAATTGTGAGGTGTTTAACTGCCTGGGTGGGCAATTATTATATGCCCAACTCTGGTTATTTTAAAGCTTATTTTACCAAATTACAAATTCATATTTTTTTTTAAATTATAACAATGTATAATTGTTGTTGCGTCAATGACACGCCAATAAATAGGTCATTTTCCGTTCACTCTGTTTTTAGGTTTACACCAGTCTGTGTATGTTAGGTTTACGCATCTGTTTCTTAGATTTACACCACTGTTTCTTAGATTTACACCACTGTTTCTTAGATTTACACCACTGTTTCTTAGATTTACACCACTGTTTCTTAGATTTACACCACTGTTTCTCTTAGATTTACACCACTGTTTCTTAGATATACATCTGTTTTTTTAGATTTCTTAGCGCATCTCTGTTTTTTGAGGGCTTACACCACAGTTTCGTAGAAGTACACCTTTGTTTTCTAGGTTTGCACAGTTTAACAATTTTTATATATTCGGTGATACGTCATATTTCTTAGTAATTTCCTTATCCGTTATGTGTGGTGTCTATGAATGCAATAGGTCGTCATTTTCGAAACCAACGTTATTTGATAGTTATATGTTAGTTTCATAATTGAATCTTATTTCGCTATTATTGTCCCATCATTTTTGTTGTTATTCATTCATTGATTATTTTAACATTGTTTTGTCTTTATTTTGCAATTATTGGATAATTATTTCATAAACGTTTGAATATTTTGCTATTACTTCGCCTTTATTTCGTTATCAAGATATTATTTTGCCTTTATCTAGTATACATTTCATCATTATTTGATTATTTCCTTATTATTGTCACTAAAACTCAGGTCATATATATCAGTTGATACAGATAAAATACACATAACGCACACATGATGGGGAATTCATAGCAATCTTTTTGATTTTAAACAGACGATTTATTCAAATTTAACAAAAAATCAATTCTTCTAATTTCTAAAATTAATAAGATTTTCCGCGTCGATAGCCACGGCAGAAAGCCCACTAAAACATTGTACTTAAACATTGTAACCATGGTGTGAAATGGAGTGTACTTTTCATCTTCAAATGGTCTATGATATGGTTTTTGAATTTAGAGGCACACCCTTGGAATGGAAAGGGTGCCTCTGTCACGGGTCAAATATTAACCCTAAACACAAATTCAATATTTTAACACCTCATTAATCAATATAAAATTACACAGTTCATGTAACGCAGGGATAATTTAGATGGGCACCAGTATAGTTCAATATATGCAATTAGGAACAAGAGTGCACACAGATAAGTCATACACATACGACGACAAACATGAATTACGGAAAACTAAAAATAAATTATTGGAATATATTAAATATTTCTGCAATAATCCTTGTTGAATTACAATAACATATGGGACTACTTCTTTCCATGTCGTTTCTCTCCATGATACGATGGATAACGACCAGATAGTAGTAATAAATGGTGAAATGAGGTAGTAATAACAAAATAAATGAATCAACTGAAATAATAATCAAATACCACTACTTGATAATTTGCAACCAATAAAATACGATCAATTTTAAAATAAGCATATAATGACAAAATAGTGGAAAAGAAATTGAGACAGGTAATTTTGACGGTGATATCTTAACCTCACAGGTCAGACTGAAAAAAAACATATATTACGAGTGGATTGTTGAAACATTGTTATATCGTTTCTTTCTTTAAATTAGTGTCTGAAAAGTTGTCTATTCTAATTCACATCCCAAAACAAGCTGCGTCATCCAACTAAAATAATTATTTCAGTGTTACTTCGCATTACAGAAAATCTTCTCAACTACACTTCAGACAAATTCTACCACTTATCCTACGTCACTGTTTAAAAAAACAGAACAATTCCAGTAGAGTGAAAACGGCGATAAGCAGATTGCCTCGGTAAGAACAGGTTGTTGATATGGGATAATGTTTGGTAGGCTTTTAGCTATTGTTCTCAAGTTAGACTACTTTAGAGAGTCATGTTATATGATGTCAGGCAAAATGCCATTAAGCAGAATTTGTTGATGATGTTTGTATCGATGGAAAGAGAAAGTTCGAGAAAATTGTATGTAGCCATTTTGGAAGTGAACCTTGTTGTACCCATTATTCATTAATTGTAAATTGTATCTGTGAAATTCTAAACCTGATTTTAACATTTTCCGATCAAGTCTTTTTTTCACTTGTTTACACTGATGAAGCTTCCCAGTGTTCCAAGGAATATTCGGCTTGAGAGAAATAACACTGGACTCAACAAGTTAGAAGATTATTTAAGAGTGTACTACCAACCTTATTTTATTGCCCAGCAAGGTCTTTGACATTTGTAGCAGGCTTTAGAACTAAGGATGAAGAAAGAATGTCTTTTAAATTTCTCAATGTCAATGCTTTTTAAGATATTATTTATTGGTGGGTTAGGACATGGGAATTCAATCTCACTGACAATGATGGCGTGATCCGATGAAAAAAACGTTGAATGATGAAGTATTTTGAGCAAGGTTTCCTTGCGTGTGTCCACCATCATCAGTAGTTGTTTTGCCAAGTTTGAGAAGACCTGCGCAATGCAGATATTTGTCAATATCCTGGTTACAATTGAATTTATATATGTTCAAAAATGGTGGCCTGTTCACTGGTGAATATCCAGGAGACAGCATAATATTCATACGAGTTTTGTTACAAAGATACACTACTTTATTTCCCTTGTGCCAGCTCTGGTGTCCAGACATTTGTCATAGATTTAGAAATTAGAAATAGTTTGCGTTCTCAGCTAGGCCGAGCACAATATTTCACAGCATGATGTACACAATCAAAATCACGAATCAATATATACCGTACATTATGAACGTATAATGAATGATATAACGTTATGAGATCAGTAAGTTAATTAACTTTGGTTTAAATATACATAGAACTGACATAGCCATACAAGGTCAAATCGCGTGAACGACATGGGTCAAGTTAAGTTATTAGTTCACACACGAGTTTAAAATTAATTAAATCACTTTTAAAAGATGCAAAAAATGAGGTTTGCAAAGCAAATATGGGAGGGAGAGAGTTCCAGTCAACTGCAATTCTGCAGAGGAATAGATATAGATAGTTATATGTATTAACTATTGGTGCTAATTAGTGAATGTAATTCGAAATGTTATAACCTAGATAATTTTATAAAGCACTATTGTTCTATACACTGCGTTGAGTGTGTAATGGGACCCATTTAAGCTATTCAATTATGTGTGAAAATTGATAATCCATTCGTTATCGTAATTATGCGTAGTGTCGGATCTTTTCAAGTCATATACAGGGTGCATACTCGAGTATGAATGAACAAAAGACTGATATACCTTCACGATCTCATACAACCCGTTTAATAAGGCCAAGTACCTCATTTTACCTTTTGTTATAATTTTAAAACCATTCGTACAATTTATAATTTTTATTTGCACGTTTAAGTGTAGGGTATATAAATTTACTTCGACAACAGTTGATTGGACAGGCGAATCATCTTCTCGAGATGGTTTTACAATCATCGACATTGAAAATGTTATCCCCGTGAAAGTTAATAGATGAAACGAAGTTATTCTCTCTTGACGTACACCCGATAATACGTCCACACTTTCATGCAATTTATTAGAGGATGATTATGTGAAATTATGTCAAAATTGTTGCGCACAATAACGTGTACACCTTTGGGAAGTGAAGATGTCAAATTTGAAAGCATAGACTAACACGTATGTTTGAGACGGGATAATAAAGAATTCTGTTCACTATTAAAGTCAGTGGCACTCGTTTATAGTTCTATGGATTTGTGGTGAGCCTTTTTAAAAAACCCAGCTTTATTTTCCAGTGTTCACTTCCTAGGTAATGCTCCAGTTTCTATAACAACGTCAAATAGCTTCATTAATGATAGAGCTTTTCATCTGATATCGTGTGCTTATCAATATTCTAATAATACAGATTTAACACGATTCACTTTCATTTCCATTATTGTTCCGATGTCAACATGCTATGATCGAATATACTGCTTCCTTTTGAATATTTCACGGGGTCTCATAATGACGCAATTTTATAAATATGATTGAATATTGCACGCGTTATTTTAATCATAAGAGTGAAATACTCGATAATCATTTTCTCCTGATAATGAATTACCTCATTCCGGCTTTGATAACTTGTATTGACGCGACTCTCAATGGTTAACCTGGTTATCCAATTTTCAATTTCTAGAAACTGTTGAAAATGAAGTTGTAATTTTTAAATTTAACACACTGGAACAGTCCATCGTCAGTAACCTTTGCCAAATGGTATATATATAAACTATATAAATTGCAATAATTATATACAATCATATGCTATTATAATAATATTCAATCGTTTGACTTTTTCAGATTAACTTAGTTGTTCTTATATTGGTACTGCGAGCATTCATGGGTGTAAAAGTCAATGAAGCAAAAACGGAGAAGGAACGATTAAGGTAATTATGCTTTTTATCTTGAATATTTGCCATAATAATATAACTATCTAACTATCGCCTTAAGGTAAATGTAATGAAGAGTGTAATTACCTATACCTAATACGACATCGAACATAATTGCAGACATGCTTTCATTGAACTTGTCACGATTATAACGTGTGTATGCAAACAACATAATGTACAATGCGGTTTTCGTAATATTTAAATTAATAATAACATAAACTTCGTATATACCCTTAGACCAGAAAACAAAAGGTTACAGGCTGTGAACGTGTAATTGCATGTATTACCGCAGAGATTTTTTGTGAAATGAGCAATTTCCAACAAATAAACGCATTTATATACATAAAATACTAGGCTAACAGCTTTTAAATATATCTAACGAATTTAGACGCATTCGCATACATATTACTAATAATAAGCAATTCAAATTCAATTCCGCCGGACAATCCGGAATTGGATTTTTTTTCAAGTAGTACTAGTCTCACCTATATCTGTCATTGACAAATAATTTGTTTGGTTGATTGTCAAGATTATGATTACCTAATACCATTGGCCAATATTTTATTTTGTATTATGTCATAATTAAATACAATGTTTTGTCTATAATTTTGTTAAGCAACATTTTTGTGGGAGAAAGTATGGCGGTCAGATAGCAAAGGTTAACCCACACTGAGCCGTGCAGATTATACGTGCTATGATGGCTTGATTTCAACTCAATGTTATGCATACAATACACAGATCTCAACTGAGTAAAACCATGCCTTTCTCTCACAGTTGTTGAGTGAATTAACATGTTATGTATTTTATCGTCTAGTCTGTAGATATTCCTTGTATTCAAATGTCATTTTTGCAAAGCACGCAATGGGAGTCATTGCGGTTAGCGCATCTGTCTAATCGGTCACTATGTGTCTGTGTGTGTGTCTGTTCCATTGATATCTCAAGAACCAATTATCAGATTTTAATGAAACTGGTACATAGATGCTCTAATTAGTTTTTGGTTGAAATAAATTCATATTAATTACATAATTCATTTATTAATTAATCGACTTTAAGCATTTTCACTTGTTTCGTATGTATCTTTAAAGCGCGGTGGTCGTCGCGCAGTGCGTGTTCGAATTTCATGTAAATAAACAATGTATTTTACACGCGTTTTATACGTCGCTATGAGTCCCATATCGAACAGGACGCGGCACGACGACCGCTGCCCTTTAAACAAATTTCAATGAAGCTTGGTATATAGATGATCTGAGATAATACGCAGTACTAATTGGCCTTGGTTGAAATCCTTTGTATATTAAGTTTCTAATTTGCATATTAATTAACCGATTTTAAGATTTTTAATATTTGTTTCATCTACCATTAAACAGATTTCAATGAAGCTTGGTACTCGTATATAGATGGCCTGGGATAATACTCAGTATTGATTGGCTTTGTTTGAAATCCCCTGCATAGTAATTACCTAATTTCCTTATTAATTAACCAAATTTAAGCATTCTCACTTTTTCTTATATACCATTAAACAAATTTTAATGAAACTTAGTGCATAGATGTTTTGGGATAATGTGCAATACTGATTACTTTTGGTTGAAATCCTGTGCGTATTATTTAGCTATAGCATTTTCACATTTTTTCTAAGAACCATTGAACAGATTTCAATAACAATTGATACATAGATGTTTCTGAATAATGCACAGTTCATGCATAATAATGAATTAATTCGCATAATAATTAGTCAACTTTAAGCATTTTAATTTGTTTTTCAAGTACATTGTAACAAATTTGAATAAAACATGATACATAGATGTTCTTGGACAAGTATATGGTCAAAATGAGACATTTCAATGATTTTGCATTCAATTTATACAATGCTTTTTATGTGTAATGAATGTGGTTCTAATATTATACCTTCAGCACACAGGATTCGATTTTTATTAGTATTTTCTTGAAATCTAAAAAAGACGATTCAATGGCAAACACTGGTTAAGGTATTTTCACACTATAACGACTATAATAATTCAATTACCCATTGGCCAGTCAAATTGAATAGTCAGTGATCGGTCGGTCAGTCAATCAATTAATAGCTTATCGTGGGTAATTAATCAATTCAATCAGACGTTTCAGACGAAATGTTTTTTTCTCAATGATAAATAGACTAGAATGATATATTTATCGGCCCTAGCACCTTTCACCCATTGTGAACTGGTGTTGAATAGTTCGAACTGTAACTGTATCAATGTTAGAGAGTGATGGCTTCAATCATTTATACTGTATTAACCTAGGTCTGGCGTACGTGCATGTATGATTCTACTTCCAATACTTGGACTCACGTGGATATTTGGTATCTTGGCCTTTAATAAGGAGACGTTGTTTTTTGCATACCTATTTGCACTACTGAATTCTTCCCAGGTAAGTGTATGCATTGTAATTTCCACCATTACATTTATACCTGTTCCAAAACCATATATAATAACACAATTTGTCAAAAACAACATCTTTCCGTAAGAATAAAATCAAGACAAGCATAATTAATAATATGGTATATTCGAACCTCGAAATATATTGGGATTTTTTTCTCACAAGGACACCTCTTCGCTAACTCTTTACATCGAAGATTAGATACGTGAAAAATCGCGTTGCTTATCCTATCATATCATCTTTGTTTTCAGGGTGTCTTCATCTTTATACTACACTGTGCTTGTAATGATGAGGTATGTGACGATTTAAATTGTAAGCAAAATGTTCCTCTACATAGGCGATTTAAAATGACTTTCTCTTCTATATTGCTAGTGCTGCAGAATTCAGTGTATATATAAATATACATTATTGAACATAACAATAACAAATATAATACGATATGTTTGTTCAGTTTCTCAAACTACGCATTTCTTATTGTAGGTCAAATCAATGTACAAGAAAAGATTCAAATCAAAGATATCAACATCAGCGCATGCGTGGGCCGCAAACAATAAATCCAAGTCTAAATCCACTAGTACAACGACAACGGCTAGCGAGGGTGTCAGCGTGTCATTAAACGTATGACAACATTTACCAAGTATAATTTTTTTTTATAGATCTATGGTAAATAAATAATGAGCACATAGTTAGGGAGCAATGTTTAAAAGGCAATTTTGAGTTGTTAACTCTAAACGTAAATTAAATGTCGACTTTGTATTGCTGGAGTTTACAGACTACATGGTAAAGTACATCGATAGCGGGCGCAACAAACTTTTCATTGCATTTTCAATTCTACGTACATTCGTATTTACGAATATTATTGTGAAGATGTTCCTATTTACATTCACAGACGTATATAAAGAAAAGTGTCGGAAAGCAAGAAGACACCTCGGCATAGACGATGATGATGATAACGATCTACCACCTATCACACATCTAGAGCGTACAAGCGAGCTTATAACGACTGTTTTAAACGTAACACATATCTAATCGTGTTATCTTATCCTAGTGATTCAATGGATATATATATATTAATAATAATAAGATGTTAGAAACACGTGTATGTTATATTTATTTGATATTACGTTAGTGTTTGTGTTCATTATTGGTACCCTGGATGTATTTACACATTTTTTGTATAACATTAATTAATTGGTTTGTTTATTTATTTTGCGATCATATAACGATGTATGATGATGTTTTCCAGTTTAAATGCTCACAGTAAATGAATGCGACTCGCAATTTATATAAAAACGGCAGATTGACCAGGTTTTCCTCATAATTGATAGGTAGATGATTTTTGATGTGTGTATTTTTTGGAGGATGACTGTTTGATAATGTCTATAGTTTTTGTGTGACGAATGGTAAATGACATTTCGATGATATATTTGTTTTTATGCGTTTTTACCTCGTATTGTGGCGACCTCGGTAGTGTATAGTAAGGAGAATGTTTAGTACCATGAATATATTTCTAAATGTTATATATAATTTTTTTGAAATGGAAGTGTTTGAAACATAGTATTTCTACATGGTTTATAATATTGTTTCCGTTTTACATACAGTTCTTTAGCGGAAACTTGTATAAACTGCACAGGGTTTTCAGTACATAGGACTTCAACATACGCATACGTTTGAGATATAATTATGTCATCAGAGCGAGTGTGTTTGGAATTAAGACTATAGCGCTCCAGATTCATATTACACAGTTACATTGAAGATGTTTTGAAGAATCCTAATATTTGGGGTTTACGATATGGAGAGGATAAATGGATTGCATTGAGTGAGCTGTGTACCATATTTCGGGATAAGACTAGAGGGTGAAAATATTTCTATATGATTTATAATAATATATGAATAATGAAGCATGTATTCAATGAAACGTATGAAAGTTGTTATGTTACACATAAGTGTACAATTAAATTTCTTTTGTCTAATTGTCAATTTTCTTTTCAAATAAACTTATTAACTCTATATTTAAATTTGATCCAATACAAATTTGTATAATTGTCGTATTTCTGTTTATTTTCTTATTTTGGTTTTTATATTCACTTGTCTTGTTTTCGAAATATACAATTATCCATGATCGTTTTACGTATTAACTGATGTCGAATATGACAAATCTTCCATTTCTGATACAACAATCCACTGAAATATATATCTATATAAGGTGTATTGCAATAAAATAGTGTGTATTCCGTTGCCATTGTCAGACCTTTACACTGTCGCGTGTATTTGCAAATAAAAGTTTAAATGGAAATAAAAGATTAAAAAGCAAGTTTTTCATGACAATTTACTAATTGAAATGCATCGAATGGCAGCGTGAATTCTTGAAATTCCTCATTTGAATACGAGTTCATTTTCAAATTGTATTTCTCTCTATAGACTTTAATAGATTGGATGTAATTATATGACACCTAATTTTGAAAAAAAATATCAGTTGCCGAACAGCACCGTCGTACGTACCACTACGTCGCACAGGCTCGGCGAATTTCTTCTTCTTCGAGCGAAACATAGCATATGGCAGGCTATTTTCCCTTACTTTTGTTCTTTAAAGCAACTTTAACAAACTACCTATATATAATAATGTCCATCATTTTTTTTCCCAACATACAACAGATTTAAGGTCAAATTTTGAAAGATTTTGTATTGATATTTGGTTTTCATATTATGGGGTCTAACTTTGATACCGTAAATCGTGATGAAATATGTTTAGCCATGGCCATGCCCAATCACTGGTACGCTGGTAGAGTATAATTAGTAATATTTTGTTTATTTTTGAATAATAATCTCGTCACATGCTAACCAGTAAACTGCACATCAATACTGGGGGCGCACATTTTTAACAACATTTGAACTTACTCACTCTCTAACATTGATACAGTTAGAGTGCGTACTATTCAACACTAGTTCACAATGGTTGAAATGTCCTAGGGCCGATAAATATAAGGCCACACTGATTTAATTTTATGGATGACATCCTCTGGAGACCCCAAAACTAATGCGAGAGGGCGAAAAAAAAATCCTGCTAAAACCACAGGACTACGGAGCTGCTATTACAAATTGGACCACAGAACACAATGTACCAAAAAACAACAAGAAGTCTTTATTTGTAGGAGGCACATGTTGATATACACATCTCGTACTGTATTACTGTCACAGGTATAACCATTTCAGACAAGCTCTAGTACATGTAGTCATGTACCTTCAGTCAAAAACACTGCATGCAAGGTACAACATGGACATCATTTTCAGTACAAGG